AATTTCAGTATAACGTCAGTATCATCCTTATTAAACCCTGCAACTATTAAAAAGAGAGAGAGAGAGAGAGAGAGAGAGAGAGAGAGAGAGAGAGAGAGAGAGAGAGAGAGAGAGAGAGAGAGAGAGAGAGAGAGAGAGAGAGAGAGAGAGAGAGAGAGAGAGAGAGGGAGAGGGAGACTAGAGGGAGGAGAAGAAGAGAGAGGGAGGAGAAGAAGAGAGAGGGAAGGAGAGGAGAGGAGAGAGCACAGCATGCACTAAAAGAATCTCTCAAGAGCCAGGTAAGAGCCAGGTAAGAGCCAGGTAAGAGCCATTTTACGTGTTGGTTGACTTCAATAAATAAAGAGGAAGTTTCACTGTGGGAAAAATTGTTTACTGAATACCGGGAGGATTTTTGGGTACAGGCAGGTGGGGAGGTGGGGGAGTGGGGAGGTGGGGGAGTGGGGAGGTGGGGAGGTGGGGAGGTGGGGGAGTGGGGAGGTGGGGGAGGTGGGGAGGTGGGGGAGTGGGGAGGTGGGGGAGTGGGGAGGTGGGGGAGTGGGGAGGTGGGGAAGTGAGGAGGTGGGGGAGTGGGAAGGTGGGGGAGTGGGGAAGTGGGGGAGTGGGGAGGTGGGGGAGTGGGAAGGTGGGAGAGTGGGAAGGTGGGGGAGTGAGGGAGATTTAATGGGAGGGAGAGAAAGTAAAGAGATAGTGGAGAAAGGAATTAAGTGAGCGGATTCCATATAAGAAGCATAGTACAGTGCTGTGGATCATAGTGTGCTGTGGATCATAGTGTGCTGTGGATCATAGTGTGCTGCGGACCATAGTGTGCTGTGGACCGTAGTGTGCTGTGGATCGTAGTGTGCTGTGGATCGTAGTGTGCTGTGGATCATAGTGTGCTGTGGATCATAGTGTGCTGTGGATCATAGTGTGCTGTGGATCATAGTGTGCTGTGGATCATAGTGTGCTGCGGACCATAGTGTGCTGTGGATCATAGTGTGCTGTGGATCATAGTGTGCTGTGGATCATAGTGTGCTGTGGATCATAGTGTGCTGTGGATCATAGTGTGCTGTGGACCATAGTGTGCTGTGGATCATAGTGTGCTGTGGACCATAGTGTGCTGTGGATCATAGTGTGTTGTGGACCATAGTGTGCTGTGGATCATAGTGTGTTGTGGATCATAGTGTGTTGTGGACCGTAGTGTGCTGTGGACCATAGTGTGCTGTGGACCATAGTGTGCTGTGGACCATAGTGTGCTGTGGATCATAGTGTGCTGTGGATCATAGTGTGCTGTGGATCATAGTGTGCTGTGGACCATAGTGTGCTGTGGACCATAGTGTGCTGTGGACCATAGTGTGCTGTGGACCATAGTGTGCTGTGGATCATAGTGTGCTGTGGACCATAGTGTGCCGTGGACCATAGTGTGCCGTGGACCATAGTGTGCTGTGGACCATAGTGTGCTGTGGACCATAGTGTGCTGTGGACCATAGTGTGCTGTGGACCATAGTGTGCTGTGGACCATAGTGTGCTGTGGACCATAGTGTGCTGTGGACCATAGTGTGTTGTGGACCATAGTGTGTTGTGGATCGTAGTGTGTTGTGGACCGTAGTGTGCTGTGGACCATAGTGTGCTGTGGATCATAGTGTGTTGTGGACCATAGTGTGCTGTGGACCATAGTGTGCTGTGGATCATAGTGTGTTGTGGACCATAGTGTGCTGTGGATCATAGTGTGCTGTGGACCATAGTGTGCTGTGGACCATAGTGTGCTGTGGACCATAGTGTGCTGTGGATCATAGTGTGCTGTGGACCATAGTGTGCTGTGGACCATAGTGTGCTGTGGATCATAGTGTGCTGTGGACCATAGTGTGCTGTGGATCATAGTGTGCTATGGACCGTAGTGTGCTGTGGACCATAGTGTGCTGTGGATCATAGTGTGTTGTGGACCATAGTGTGCTGTGGATCATAGTGTGCTGTGGACCATAGTGTGCTGTGGATCATAGTGTGCTGTGGACCGTAGTGTGCTGTGGATCATAGTGTGTTGTGGACCGTAGTGTGCTGTGGATCATAGTGTGTTGTGGACCATAGTGTGCTGTGGACCATAGTGTGCTGTGGACCATAGTGTGCTGTGGATCATAGTGTGTTGTGGACCGTAGTGTGCTGTGGACCGTAGTGTGCTGTGGACCATAGTGTGCTGTGGACCGTAGTGTGCTGTGGTCCGTAGTGTGCTGTGGACCATAGTGTGCTGTGGACCGTAGTGTGCTGTGGACCATAGTGTGCTGTGGACCGTAGTGTGCTGTGGACCATAGTGTGCTGTGGACCGTAGTGTGCTGTGGACCATAGTGTGCTGTGGACCATAGTGTGCTGTGGACCGTAGTGTGCTGTGGACCGTAGTGTGCTGTGGACCATAGTGTGCTGTGGACCGTAGTGTGCTGTGGACCGTAGTGTGCTGTGGACCGTAGTGTGCTGTGGACCGTAGTGTGCTGTGGACCATAGTGTGCTGTGGACCGTAGTGTGCTGTGGACCGTAGTGTGCTGTGGACCGTAGTGTGCTGTGGACCATAGTGTGCTGTGGACCGTAGTGTGCTGTGGACCGTAGTGTGCTGTGGACCGTAGTGTGCTGTGGACCGTAGTGTGCTGTGGACCGTAGTGTGCTGTGGACCGTAGTGTGCTGTGGACCGTAGTGTGCTGTGGACCATAGTGTGCTGTGGACCGTAGTGTGCTGTGGACCGTAGTGTGCTGTGGACCATAGTGTGCCGTGGACCATAGTGTGCCGTGGACCGTAGTGTGCCGTGGACCGTAGTGTGCTGTGGACCGTAGTGTGCCGTGGACCGTAGTGTGCTGTGGACCATAGTGTGCTGTGGACCATAGTGTGCTGTGGACCATAGTGTGCTGTGGACCGTAGTGTGCTGTGGACCATAGTGTGCTGTGGACCATAGTGTGCTGTGGACCATAGTGTGCTGTGGACCGTAGTGTGCTGTGGACCATAGTGTGCTGTGGACCATAGTGTGCTGTGGATCATAGTGTGTTGTGGACCGTAGTGTGCTGTGGATCATAGTGTGTTGTGGACCGTAGTGTGCTGTGGACCATAGTGTGCTGTGGATCATAGTGTGTTGTGGACCGTAGTGTGCTGTGGATCATAGTGTGTTGTGGACCGTAGTGTGCTGTGGATCATAGTGTGCTGTGGACCATAGTGTGCTGTGGACCATAGTGTGCTGTGGACCATAGTGTGCTGTGGACCGTAGTGTGCTGTGGACCATAGTGTGTTGTGGACCATAGTGTGCTGTGGATCATAGTGTGCTGTGGACCGTAGTGTGCTGTGGATCATAGTGTGTTGTGGACCATAGTGTGCTGTGGACCATAGTGTGTTGTGGACCATAGTGTGCTGTGGACCATAGTGTGCTGTGGATCATAGTGTGTTGTGGACCATAGTGTGCTGTGGACCATAGTGTGCTGTGGACCGTAGTGTGTTGTGGATCATAGTGTGCTGTGGACCGTAGTGTGCTGCGGACCATAGTGTGCTGCGGACCTTAGTGTGCTGTGGATCATAGTGTGTTGTGGACCATAGTGTGCTGTGGATCATAGTGTGCTGTGGATCATAGTGTGCTGTGGACCGTAGTGTGCTGTGGACCATAGTGTGCTGTGGATCATAGTGTGCTGTGGACCGTAGTGTGCTGTGGACCATAGTGTGCTGTGGACCATAGTGTGTTGTGGACCATAGTGTGCTGTGGACCATAGTGTGCTGTGGACCATAGTGTGCTGTGGATCATAGTGTGTTGTGGACCATAGTGTGCTGTGGATCATAGTGTGTTGTGGACCGTAGTGTGTTGTGGACCGTAGTGTGCTGTGGACCGTAGTGTGCTGCGGACCATACAGTACTGTATGAGGGGGAGTTGGAATTTTTGGGGCTGAGGTGTTAAGCAGGGGAGACGGTGTTTTTTTTTTTTTTTAAGATTCGCTACTGGGAACAAAAAGTTGCAAGTAGCACGGGCTATGGTGAGCCCGTGGATGACTTGCCTGGCACAGGAGCAGGGCTGTAACAGTAACGGTGGTTGGGGAAGGCGGGGGGGGGGGTGTAAGGCATACAAACACCCCCCCTCACCCCCACCTGATCCTCCAATATCCCCCCCTTCCCCCCCCCCCCTCACCCCCACCTGATCCTCCAATATCCCCCCCTTCCCCCCCCCCCCCCCTCACTTGTTGTCGTTCACGGTGGACAATTCCATCACCAGATCCATTACAGAACAACCAGGGCGAGGCACAGTGGCTCTTTCCCCCTCTCTCCCTCTCTCTACCCCCTCTCTCTCTCTACCCCCCCTTCTCTCTCTCTAACCCCCCCTCTCTCTCTCTACCCCCCCCCCCCTCTGTCTCTCTACCCCCCCTCTCTCTACCCCTTCTCTCTCTCTACCCTACCCCCCCCCCCTCTCTCTCTCTCTCTCTCTCTCTCTCATCTCTCTCTCTCTCTCTCTCTCTCTCTCTCTCTCTCTCCTCTCTCTCTCTCCCTCTCTCTCTCTCTCTCTCTCGTTAGTCTCAACAACACACACATCGGAAAGATATTGGTTTGTGAAGAGTGCATGTTTGTGATGGCTTGTGAGTGTGAATGTGGTTTGTACTCACTAAATTGTGCTTCAAAGTGTTAAGCTCCGGGGCTCTGGTCCCGCCTCTCAACTGTCAATCAACTGGTGTACAGGTTCCTGAGCCTACTGGGCTCTATCATATCTACATTTGAAACTGTGTATGGAGTCAACCTCCACCACATCACTGCCTAATGCATTCCACCTGTTAAGTACTCCGACACTGAAAAAGTTCCTTCTAACGTCTCTGTGGCTCATCTGGGTACTCTGTTTCCACCTGTGTCCCCTTGTTCGTGTACCACCAGTGTTGAATAGTTTATCCTTGTTTACCCGGTCGATTCCCCCGAGGATTTTGTAGGTTGTGATCATGTCTCCCCTTACTCTTCTGTCTTCCAGTGTTGTAAGGTGCATTTCCCGCAGCCTTTCCAGTGTGCGCGCGTGTGGTTCAACTCACCCTTCTCACAGACGTAGCCAGCGATGGTGACCCCGAGACCGTGGTGATCCTTGGTGACCTCCAGTTCAATGGTCTCCATCTCCGGCAGCGCCTCTCCCGCCAGCAGCGACAGCTCCTCCTCCGTGTAGGTGAGGTGGGCGGAGGGCAGCGCGGCCTCCGACACCAGCCCACCACCGCCCACTGGCGGGGACAGCGATGAGGTGGACGACCCGCCCTCTCCCTCCACCTGTCGACAAACACCACGCACAAATTAACGCAAAATTAACTTAATTATATATTATATAATCAACATAACGTATACACGTTATACAGACCTTTATGTGCGGAGAACCAACACCAACAACCTACTGGATCCAAACGGGGTTGAGATTTGTGGCTCCCGTCAGTATAGCACGTCTAGTTTCCCTGATTTTGTGGACGAATAAATTAAATATCGTCTAGCAGAAAACGCTCATAGTAGGACTTGGGGTTTGTGGGGAACCTACGTGGGGAAGAGGGGGAGGAAGAGGGGAGGAAGAGGGGGAGGAAGAGGGGGAGGAAGAGGGGGGAGGAAGAGGGGGGAGGAAGAGGGGGAGGAAGAGGGGGAGGAAGAGGGGGAGGAAGAGGGGGGAGGAAGAGGGGGAGGAAGAGGGGGAGGAAGAGGGGGGAGGAAGAGGGGGGAGGAAGAGGGGGGAGGAAGAAGGGGGGAGGAAGAGGGGGGGAGGAAGAGGGGGGGCAGGAAGAGGGGGGAGGAAGAGGGGGGGGAGGAAGAGGGGGGAGGGGAGAAGGGGGGGGAGGAAGAGGGGGGAGGAAGAGGGGGGGAGGAAGAGGGGGGAGGAAGAGGGGGGAGGAAGAGGGGGGAGGAAGAGGGGGGAGGAAGAGGGGGAGAGAGGGGAGGAGAGGGGGAGGAAGAGGGGGGAGGAAGAGGGGAGAGGAAGAGGGGGGAGAAAGAGGGGGAGGAAGAGGGGGAGGAGAGGGGAGGAGAGGGGGGAGGAAGAGGGGGGAGGAAGAGGGGGGGAGGAAGAGGGGGGGAGGAAGAGGGGGAGGAAGAGGGGAGAAGAGGGAAAGATGATCAGAAGGAAACATGGAATAATCACACACACACACACACACACACACACACACACACACACACACACACACACACACACACACACCGGGCCTGATAGCTGAGTGGACACTGCTCTAGACTCATAATCCAAGGGTCCGGGTTCGATCCCCCCGGCACCGCCGGAAAAACAAATGGACAGTTTCCTTTACCCTGATGCCCCTGTTACCTATCAATAAATAGGTACCTAGGAAGACAGTGGCTACGGAAAATAGGTTAGAATGACGGAGCCTGTTACGACCCTGGGTTCTCCAGTGGAAACCAGAGGTCAAAATTGAGCTATTAAACTTTCTGGTAGTACAGTTGGGCATCTAGAATGTCAATTGTTTGTATCTTCCCTGCCAGACGTAAGACTATTATTGTTTCTCAAAGAGCATTTAAAGACTGAGCTGGGGGTTGATTATTAAATAATAACATAGGCACCAACTTTGCTTACTAATACTTTCTAATCATTCATAAGTAACAATACGTTTCATAGGGGAAGATCTTTAATGTGCTTAGCTGCACGATCAATTAGGCTCCTCCCGGCACCACAACATGAGGGAGGCAGCTGGTGGCTAGCTCGGTCTTCTCTTGGCTGGTGGCGTGAGGTTAAGACCTACTCTGTGGCTGTATCCCTACTCTCCTTCCTTCTCCTCTTACTTATTTCCCTTACCTGAAGTTCCTGTATCCTTAAGCTAAGTACAGGGCATTAGTGAGTGTGCCTACTCTGGTAGTAACGATTGGTGAGACCTGGGATAGTATTTTGCCAGTGTTTGGGTACCCCTAAGTGTTGTGTTTTGTCTTAGGGTCCCACGTGGTTTCACTACCCTAAGCTGCATCCAGCTTCAGTGCTTATCCAGTAGTACTTTACCCTAGCTTGTTATTAGTGTAAACCTTGTATCCTGCCTACGTGGACCAAGGCTTTTAACGTAAGATAGTGTGGTAAAGTTATTATTATTATTGTTATTGGTGTGAGTGTATATGGGGGGGTTGTTAACGGGTTAATAAATAAGTACATGAATTACAGAGTATCTCTTCTTCCAAGGTGGGAGCGCAGTGATCAACCCTTAGACGAACATATTTGGTCTTGTAGCAAGTTATTACTACTGTGGATAGTTTATTTTGGGGGCCGGGCCTTTTAGCTCTCCCATATATGATACTCCTGTCTTCTAACTACCTATACCCCTTAATAGTACCAGTACCCCATAGAAGCCCCACTCATATCAGGTGTAACAAGTGGTTGGCCAGTCCGGGAGGAACATTATAAGTGTAAAAAATTAGATTCTTGAGTGCCAAAATTAAAATTTTTTATTTCCGCAGAACGGTTGTGTGCTAGCCTAGGGTCCAGCTCATCTAGCAAAGGACATTCTTGCACTGACTGGACACCCAGCTGGATCCCTTCACGATTAAGGTTAGTGTGGCCTTGTGATAGGGGCCGTGCAAATTTTTGTTTTTTTTCCAATTTTTATTTTTTAATTTTTTCTTTGGCTGGGAGCTAAATTATTAGTGATGTCTTCTGAAATGCAGAACCTGGCAAGGGAGCCTTCAGTGGTAGAGATAAAGAAACTTAAAAAGTCTAATTTAGTATTGTTAGGCCAGGAATTTGGCCTAGAATTAAATGTCGCAGAATAAAAAGTGGACTCTGGTAAATGAAATATTAGAACATTGTATTGATGAAGAACTATTGGCAAGTGATACACCTTTATGCCAGCCTAGCCAAGCAGAAAGTGCAACTCATAGGGAAAGTGAATTAGCTTTAGAGTTAGCAAAAATAAAATTAGAGGAGCAAAAACTCAAAACCGAGGAGGCTAGAATTAGAGCGAATGCCACTGGACCTCCACCTGCCGGGGATTCAAACCCCAGGCATTATGAGAAAAAGCATAATTTGCCTGAATTTTCCGAGTCTGACCCTGAAGGTTTTTCAACCATTTTCAGAGAGTGGCCACGTCCATGAACTGGCCAAAGGAAGAGTGGGTGAAAATCCTACAGGAAGACTTAGGGGTAAAGCACAAGATATTTTATAAACATGCCTGACGACGAGTGTTTCGAATATGATAAAGTCAGGGAATGTATTTTGCGGGCATATGAAAATTTACTCCTGAAGCTCACCGCCAAGTTTATCGTAACCTTAGGCCTACTCACAACCAACCGCTCACTGAATTTGTGAATGATCAAATTCGATTGTTTGATAGATGGATTCGCTCGGCGAAAGCCGAAACATACGAGGCTCTCAGGAACTTAATTTTAATGGAGCATTTTATAGATGTTATGCCAGAGAACGTATCACAATACATTAAAGGAAGGATAGAGTTAAATTCTAAAATAGGGGATTTGGCCAAGTTGGCAGAAAACTACCAATTGGCGGGCAAAAGGCCCAATAAAAATAATTATACCCCCAGAGTAGCAAACCTTATACCCACAGCCAGTCCAGACCAGCTCATTCTAACCCTTTACCTAATGCACCTTCTGTTTCAGACATAACTAACCCTGTTAAAGTGTCTAGCCCAACGGCACCTAAAGGTGAACCGAAGGGTAATTCTGTTAGTAATGTCTCTTCTCCCCGACGTTTTTGTGGTCACTGTAATCGTCCAAACCACACTATTAGCCGTTGTTGGCAACTGCACCCTGAAAAAAGACCCAATGCTCTAGTTGTGACACAGGGCTTGAGGCTTTCAGAAGGGTTAGGGAGTAAGACCCTCTAACCCACAGTGGTTGGACTTGCTTACCCCATTCTTATCGAAAGGGAGACTACTTTTGTCTGAGGGTTCTTCCTGGAAGGACGTGGTGATCTTCCGAGACACGGTGCCATCCAGACTTTAATTTTAGAGAGTGCATTGCAAGGTGCCAACACTCTCGACACTGGAGAGGTGGTACTGGTCGAGGGTGTCACTAGTGATACTCGGGCAGTACCCCTCCATAAGGTTACCCTGGAATCTGATTTCCACAAGGGTGTTTGTACAGTCGGAAGTCACTTCATACCTACCTTTCCCTAATGTTGATGTAATAGTTGGTAATGATTTAGCAGGGGATAAGGTAGGGGACTCCAGACTGCCTATTATGTTTGCCTACCCCTAAGGTTTGCCTGGATCCACCCGCCGCAGAGGATAATGTTGT